AAGAAAGTGGTGCTGGATGGAGAGGAGGTGCAAATTGACATCCTTGATACAGCCGGGCAAGAGGACTACGCAGCCATCCGGGATAACTACTTCCGAAGTGGCGAGGGTTTCCTCTGCGTATTTTCCATCACAGAGCTGGAGTCTTTTGCAGCAACAGTAGACTTCAGGTGCAGCCACTTAGATTCTTTTAATGAAGCACTTACCCATCCATTAGGATGTAATTAAGCTATTCTTCTTCCTTTGCTTTTTTGATACTTCATCACAACTCAAGGTTTTTCTTCCATCAGGTTGACTAGACTCATATGAGTAAGGATTTTGTGCATTTACCATGCAGCGCTCTGTTTATTTACATAATTCACGGCTGAATGAGATTTCCTGTTCATTTTGCAGAGAGCAAATTCTGCGAGTGAAGGAGGATGAGAATGTGCCCTTTCTCCTGGTTGGTAATAAGTCAGACTTGGACGACCGACGGCAGGTTAGCGCAGATGAGGCAAAGGCACGTGCAGAGCAGTGGGGCGTGTGCTACGTGGAGACTTCGGCCAAAACTCGTGCCAATGTTGACAAGGTTTGTTTAACTTGCTGAACATAATAATTCCTTCCTATGCTGACACCAAGCAAAACAGACACATAAACACAGAAATGTGAACACTTGTGTTTTTTATGTTCTCCTGTTAACAGGTTTTTTTCGACCTAATGAGAGAGATCCGGGCAAGAAAAATGGAGGACAGCAAAGAGAAAAACGGGAAGAAGAAAAGTAAAAGTTTGGCCAAGAGAATTAGAGAGAGATGCTGTATTTTATAGTCGTTAGAGGGAGCAGGCTCGCTGCTTATGTACATACGCATTTCTCAGACTTTTGCTTTTTTTTTTAAATTTTAATTTAATTTAATTTTTTGTGCCCATACCTGACCATGACCTTCTGTTCCTGGTTAACAGGACATCTGACCATGTGTCAGGAAGTAGTAAGGTGGCGCTTCATACACCATTTATAGCTCTAACTTTTTATGTGCTGACACTCCAAATAATTTATGTACTCTCTCTCTTTCTCACTCTGCCCACATTACAGAGTGTAATAATTCAGTGGTGTTTTTAATTTAGACCTAAGCTTGAGAGGCTAAGTCCTGAAATGTTCCAAAACTTTTCATTGTAAAGTCTGACGTGTGTGTGTGTGTAACACACATATTAAGAGAGCTGTGCAGTGCAAGTTGAAAAAAAGATTTAAATGAAAGTCTAAGCGCCAAGGTTTAAACAGGGAAGATGTAACTGGAGCTCAGTACTGGAAAGCCCCAATCCCTTTTAATTAATCCACCATCTTTGGTAAGAAGGGTTAGTTAACAGACTCGGCAGTGTAGTGTCAACCCAGAGTTCATCAAGAGCCACAGAGGAGATGAACATTGCACTGAGCCTATGAAACCTTTCAATTAGAAAAAAAGTTTCATTATCAAAGCTCGAGACAAAATTTGATGCCATTCCTATTTGTCGTTTTACACCTCAGTTTTACTACGTTGTACAGTTAAGTATACTTCTTTTTAGTCGTGACGTCAAACATTTCCCTTCTTCTCCTCTATCATATCACCCAGTGTAAGATAAGCGCACTAATGTTTCCACTAATCTCTCCCCTTACCCCACAGACTTTTGAGTCTTCTCAAATGCACAATGGACATTAATTGTTACCCTTGAATCTGTGAGGGATTTTGCAACACTTGAACTCTTTTTCAATTCTAACATTTCAGAAGTTTTACCTCACTTGGCATTGTCTTTTTTGCGATAAAGGAATCCCTGGTGCTCAGATAAAAGGTGATTCCATAACACTACATCCCTTACATGCTGACACATCTTAATTTTAAAAACAAAGAAACACATTGTAACATGTAAAAAATGTCTTTTTTCATTTATAATTTTTCCTGACATTTAATCTGCAAACTTGTATCTCCTTTTTCCTTTTGTTAAATGGAAAAGTCCTTAATTGGAAAGCTGGGGTAAATTAATGAATAGATCATTTTTAAGGCATGAAATGAAAATGAGACTGCAGGCTGCATAGACGTGAGGTGATACTTGTCCAAAAAAAGTTTTAGTTGCCAAAGAAAAACGCTAGCTAGTACAAACAAGTGCCCACTTATTATTTGAAGTGAATGACAGCTTGCTGTAACGAGCATCAAAAGTAAGCACTACAGTCTTTGCAAAAGTCAAAAGGAGTGTCGGGAAGCGTTGAGATTTCAGTCTGATTCGCCTGGGGAAAGAAATGCAAGGTTATGAGGGCTTTAGTAATTCTTGTGCAGTGCGTCACTGTTGCCTCTCTGTCCATTGTGAATGTGAAACATCCCCTCATACTCATCCTGTTTGCCTGTAATCTTAGACTGCCAATGATTTGCAGAGTTTAGAGGTCACTGGCGTTCTACTTTGCTACTTTTTGTGCAAGGCTACCCTGTGTTACAGTGCTGTAGTAACATGCCGAATGTGTTCATTTTATCTTGTAGATGGCATTTTAGAGGCAAAGGTTGAAACGGTGTATAGAAATTGGCAAATTGAGAATGCATAGACCAAAATACACTGTGAAAACTGCCCCTTGTTTCTTAATTTATGACTGAGCCTTTTCTTTTCTTTTCTTGTGAACAATATAATTTATTTTTAGTAACTTATTATTTGTTTTTAATATTTCAGTAAAGTTAAACAGCCACATTGAGGTTGTTGCCATTTTTCTCTCTGATTCACTACCAATCGTTAACTTAATAAGCTGCTCACCATTTACACTAAAAGATTGCCACAACCAATAACGTGCCCAACACTGGAGTCTATGCAAAATGTTTGCTGTAATTGCAAAGAGGAAATGTGAAACTTGGAAACAGTTTAAAACACTGACTGGGTCTAGAAACTATTGAGAACTAGAAGCACTTGAGCTGGAGCGCCATTTAGAGATCTGACTGCAGTTTGGAAAAAAGTGTGTCATCCAACAGCTATGAAGCTTTCTTTTGTCTGTATGTTTGTCTTTTTAATGTGCGTTTATCATGCAACTCATGTCTACAGCAAAGCACATAGTAGGAGGAGTTGGACTTTAAAACAGTAACGTGAGGTGGCATCAAACTGATTGGTAAGCAGTTTATTCTAATATATGTCCTAAGGGCTAAACTCCAGTACACCACATAATGATTGAAACGCCCTGAAAGTTAAAGTGGCACGCACAGAAACTGGAATGAGCATAAAGATCCCAGTTTATTATTACTCTCCTTCTTTAGCTTGAGATTATTACATTAACCGCATTGTGTCTTCATTGTTGAGGATTACAGAAGCTGCCCTACATAAAGTGACTACCGTAATGCTTGCATACTATAACACTGGCTAAACAAAGTCTTTCTTGTTTCAGTTGTTTGTTGTGGGTTTTTGTTTATTCAAGGAGACATCATTCATAATCATTCTACTGCTGTTACTTTGTTTCCACATATTAATTTAATAGACTTGATAGCCCAAAAAATTTCAGTGAAATACTAAAACAGATGTTTGTGTGAACGCTATGAGCGAACTGTCCTACTGGGTATTCAGATAACTTGTTTTGCCTTTTCTATACCCTTGGAGTAAAAAAAGAAATCTATAGGTATCTATGTAATTGATTGGATGGTTGTATGTATGCCATCAGTTAAATGTTTCCTTCATGTTTACTTATTTTTAACATAACCACTAATGTAGCCTATCTGTTTGTGAATACAAGAGGTGATGCTTACATTTCAATTCATTTTTTTGTGAGTTTGGAAATGGCAAATAAAGTGGACATTACTAATAACACTTTGTGTATGTTCTGTGTGATACGTTTATTGTTTTTTGCACTGAACAGGTGAACTTTGAAGTGCTGTGTTATATGTATAAACATGGATAATATCTATCTCCTTACCCTGATCTTTCTTAGAGGAAAAGCACTATCTTAAGGTCATAAAACAAGCTCTTGAAGTGTCTAGGTTCTTTCTAAGCACCTTAGAAACTCATGAAGTCTTTCAGCAGGCCTGTATTGCCAGGAAAATAGCAAGACATGTCCATAAAAACACACCACAAAAACACTTGCCAGAAAATGGAAAGGTAACATTTATTGGTGTCTTTGTTGGATAAATAACAATAAAAACAGGTAAATAAATATATTTGTCACAATTTCAGCTTGTGCATTTGGTTTAGAGAAAAAAGTAAAAATTGCTTTAGCTTTTAGGTATCTTTCTTGTGTTACACAGTGTCTGCGATGAATGATGTTGTAATTTGTAAGGTATTTTAGTTTTATTGCATATAAATGTATCTATGCGCACACAGAATTTGAAATGTTATTGTACAATAGTGAGCAAACTAAGGTGTAGGTTGAGCTTGTGCATTGCCAGTCAGATCATCTTCTAATATTATTAAAAAATATCCTGAGTAAATGCAAAATGCAGTTAATGTATTAATGTGTTAATGTATTAACGGTAAAGGTTATCCAAACCTACCTGACCACATGTGAAAAGTTCTGCAAAGAAAAGTGGGCCGAAATTCCTTTGATGTGTGAGACTCATTGCCAGTTATTGCAAATGCTTGACTGCAGTTCTTGCACCCAAAGGTGGCCCAATGGTTACTAGGTTTAAGGGGTATTTACTTTTTCCTGAGGCCAGGTAGGTTTGGAAAGTTTTTTTTCTTTAATAAAAAGAAAATGTTTTGTTTTTAATACTTAAATTTAACTTCTTAATTTTCCAATCATTCCCTTGACAAATGACCATATTCTGTATAGTAATAATTAATCATTTAAACTGAGGCATGAGGGACAGATTAACTGATTAACGGCGCGTGACGGCAGCATCTGGTCTTATTGTAATCAATGGAAAGACGTAACCTGTAGTCCCATTTACTGGATACGTAGAAAATAACCATCTCCTGTACACTCTGGTTAATATCGCATTTTCATATCATATTATGTGGTGGTTTTTTGATGGTAGGGGTTTCCCTTTCGCTGTGACGTTACCAATGGATTACGAATACGAGTGCCATTGGTTGACAGCGACGCACAAGGCCTGTAGTTTGAAAGCAGCCTGGGCCCGGATGAGCTGTACCGTTAGCTGTACTGGGAACAAAGTTATATTAATATAAACACATTCAGAGATTTTTTTGAGCTATTTAACGCAGAGGTTTTGCTACTTTCGGGGAATGCTGCAATCAGCTGAGGTAGCAGTCCAGCAAGATACGTGGACGCAGGCGTGTTTTTGAATGGCATTGTTTTCTTGCATGTTGACTGAGTTGTCTTGAACTCCACACAAGGAGAAGCTAGCTGGCTAAGTTGCTAGCGGCTAGCTGGTTAGCCGCGGACTATCCGGCCAACTCGCGTGCTGTTCACTTCCTTGTTGCACACCGGAGTGTGATGGAGGGCAAGAAGTTTGTGAGAAGGAGACGGAGTTGACTACTTACATTTTAACACTATTCGGTAAATGGATTTACATGCTCGCACAGACGATAACGTTTTAGAAAAAGTGGATCTTAAATTTAGAGAGGCTTTAGGCCTGTGCTTTTACCATGAAACGGAATGCGACTGTGTAGCCGAGTACAGTTAGCCAGTTAATACTAGCTGGCTAAACCGACTAGCATTAGCTGATAAATCTGGGAGATGTCCGTCCTGGAACACAATGGTTGAGTATCGTATGGCTCTGTAACCAAGAATCATTTTGTGAATTTGATATGAGCCGGAGTGTGCTGGCACTAAGTGTCATTAATTTCCCTCTGAACTAACTCACTTTATCTTCAATCTGAACTGTACTAGCTTTGTAATGCTAACGTTAAGCTAGCTAGCTGGCTGGCTGTCTACCTGTGATTTTGCTGTTACGTTAGCTGACTAGCCTGTCACCATAGCTAGCCCAATGTTTTGTTCCACGACACACCAAGGGACATAGCTTTGGTAAATTAGAGAATATATTATTCTTAGCGTGGTGGTAGCATTTATTTGGGAGATAAATGCCTAATTCGGAGGTGCTTCGCGAGGGTCGGGGACGGAGCCCCTCTGCACAGAGAAATGCTAGCAGGCAGGACAGGCGTAGCAAACCGGGGAGCGGTGCCGCTCAGCGAGACAGGCACCGTGAGAAGAGGCGCTCATCGGCTTCTAGAAGAAAGAAACGCAGGCAACCCAAGGAAAGAGGCTTGTGGCATACCGGTACAATAGAGGACCCTGACAATGATCGAAGAAGTGCTTTTGAGAAAGATGTTGAACTTCGGACACTGGTGGAGTACGATGACGTGAGCTCCCAGTCAGAGCGTTTTTCTGGGAGCCCGTCTCCTAAACTTGACCCCCATGCTGAGAGTCTCACAGCGGACCGACTTAGCGATGTTGACTATAATGGACCAGCATCCCCAGACAGAAGTCACCCCAGAGAGCGGGAGGCAGTAAGCCTCAGCAAGGACGAGAAAACAAGAGGACCACCTGAGAGAAGCAGGCAAGAGAAGGAGCTAAGTAAGAAAAAAGACCGTCACAGTCGGGAGAGGGACTCCTCAAAAGCCAGGAGTGGAGGAAGCCTGAGTGGCTCTAAAAATCACAGAGACACTACAAGGAGCAGTGACAGGAATGGCAAAAGGACATCTACATCCCAGTCCTCACAATCTGCTGATAAAAGGGATTCAAAAAGGCACAGAAGTAAAACAAGATCTGATAAAGAGCCCCCATCTGCATACAGAGATGCTCCACAGTCTTACAGAGATGATCGTGAGGACCTCAGGGCATACAGGAGAAGTCCTGGTTTTAAATCAGAAAGTCCCTATGGGACATCATATTCATATAACTACCAGTCTCCTGGCGGTTATAACCAGCTGATATCTAGAAGAAGTCCAACTTATGCGAGCAAAAGACTTTCTCCCAGTTCCACATATTACAGCCGAGATGCAGACATGTATGGGTCGTACGGTGCCCCCAAGTCACCCAGTTCATACTCGAGCAACAAAAGGAAGAGATCACCTGTGAGCCCAGTGAACTGGCGCAGGTCTCCGAGTTACGGTCGGCACAGTCCTTATGAACAAGGAGAGTTTGGCTCAAGTCCTTATGGTAACCGGAGGCGATCACGGAGTCCATATAGGAAGTCCTTGAGCCCAAGTCCTGATGTCAGGTGAGTTGTTATTACGCAGCTAATTGAACATGTTTAATTTGTTGCACATGCTCTGTTGGTGTGGTGACTTTATTAGATTTGTTATAATAAGGCTGCACTGTTTCATTTTTCATTAAAAAAAAAAAACAACCCAAAAAACAACTTGCATGTGTCACTGCAGTTGCTAATCTGACTGAAATACCTTGAATTATAAGTGCTTTTGATGTACCAACTGAACATGCTGTTCTCATCATTTCCTTTCCAGGCGATCTGCTAGGTCACGCAGTAGAAGTCCATATTCAACTTCAAGGCATTCACGTTCTCGCAGCCGACACCGCCACTCTCGTTCCCGTAGTCGGCCATCTAGTCTTTCACCAAGCACGCTCACCTTCAAAACTAGCCTTGCTGCTGAACTCAGTAAGCAGAAAAAGGCTAAAGCTGCAGAAGCAGCTGCTAAGGCCAAGAATTCGAGCAATACATCGACTCCCACCAAGGGTTCCTCGTCCGCTCATCAGCCCAGCCCTAAATCGAATCACAACTCCAGAAAGGGTCGCCCTCCTTCTCCACCTCAACCGGAGAAGGGACCCCGAACTCCCACATCAACCCAGCCTCAGTCACCCTCAGAGAGGTCATCCAAGAAGACAACAGAGCACCAGACCAGCAGGGACAGGGATGTAAAGGGCAAGGATGACTCTATACATCGGGACAAGAGGAAAGCACCAGCCTCTGGACAAGGCAAAGAAAAGGAACGTACCACAGGTCAAGCCATGTCTACCCTCCCATTGCTGCCATTGCCCCAAACAGTTATTGAGCACATGGACAAAGGAGAAAGGTATGGATGTGCTGACCAGGAAATGTTTGTACTCTGTAGATATGATCAGACTGTTTCAGTATGCTAATGCTCTTTCAACATTTTTGCAGCTTGAAAGACAGCTCACTCTCAGGGAAGAAAAAGTCAGAGAAAAAGGCTCGTCAGCTTTTAACAGACTTGCCTCTGCCCCCTGAACTTCCTGGAAGCACAGATTCTACCCAGAGCCCATCTGATGACAAGAAGTCCCAAACAATTCGCCGAAGACCTAAGTATGTTCTTGATGTATATAGTGCTAAATCACTTTTTGTTTTGTGCTGTTGCTGCTGTTTTCTGTGTTACTATTATTTCAATGTAAAATTAAATTTGTAATTGCCAGAATCTGTGGTCCGAGATATGGTGAAATTAAGGAAATTGCCATAGACTGGGGAAAACGTTGTGTTGACAAGTTCGAGATCATTGGAATCACAGGGGAAGGAACCTACGGTCAAGTGTACAAAGCTAAAGATAAAGACACCGGTGAGTTTTACTGAAGATTAATATTCTCCTAATTCCTCTACACCAACTTTGGCACTGATTCATAGTGTATTCTTCAGAAAGTGCAGTTTTTCTTTGACATACAAGTCAATATTGTCATAAAGATCTGTTTTATGTATTTCTTTCTGTTGTCTGTTAGCTGAAATGGTGGCATTGAAGAAGGTTCGACTTGACAATGAAAAGGAAGGCTTCCCAATTACAGCCATCAGAGAGATTAAAATTTTACGTCAACTGAACCATAAAAGTATTATCAACATGAAGGAGATTGTCACAGACAAAGAGGATGCTCTAGACTTCAAGAATGATAAAGGTAATTTATATTTTTGTGAATATTTATGATACTTAGTGGAATTTTAAAAATAGTTTAAAAGATATTTATTTATTCTTTAAAATTCTTTCTTTCCCTTTTGTCTTAGGTGCTTTTTATCTTGTATTTGAGTACATGGATCACGACCTGATGGGTTTGCTTGAGTCTGGTCTCGTTCATTTTAATGAGAGCCACATAAAGTCTTTCATGCGACAGTTGCTGGAGGGACTCGATTACTGCCACAAGAAGAACTTTCTTCATAGAGACATTAAGTGCTCCAATATTCTGCTCAATAACAAGTAAGATTGCCTTTTTTTACCCATTTACAAGAACTTAGTGCTTCATGTTTTAAAACCTTGCTAAGGATGCTTTCAAGTACGCTTTAAGCAGTGTTTTTCTTTTCTTTTTTTCCCTTCTACTCAGAGGTCAAATAAAGCTTGCAGACTTTGGTCTTGCTCGGCTGTATAACTCTGAAGAGAGGTGAGCCCTCATACATTCTATTTCTGAATCTTACCTTATGTAAGATACTTATTTATCATTACCGGTATCTTTTGGGTGTGATTTTGATACTAATAAACAGATGTTGTCTTTGTTTTTGTATTTTCAGTCGACCATATACCAATAAAGTGATCACACTATGGTACCGTCCCCCAGAGTTACTTCTGGGAGAAGAGAGGTACACACCTGCTATTGATGTATGGAGCTGTGGGTAAGTGCTGATACTTTTATTGTTAATCATAAACATTTAATAATAAGAATATCTGAAAGGTGGCATATGTGTGTCATGAATTGTGTTATTTTGTCTATTAAAGATGCATTCTTGGTGAGCTGTTCACAAAGAAGCCAATCTTTCAAGCTAACCAGGAGCTTGCCCAGTTAGAGCTTATTAGGTAAGCATAGCCTAAATTCCTAAACCATGACTGGCTCTCACACAGGGCCACAGATACAGTTTCCCTCCTGTGAGCTTTGAAATTAAAGAAATACATTTATTTCTCCTCACATTTTATTTTCCTCATATTTCCATCACACATTGGTGGTTGAAAGAGGAAAGAAGTGAGCTCTGCTGTACACAGATGTAATGCTTTACCTCTGTTACCTCTGCTCTTTACTGTACTTTTTAGAAAAAATGCCTTTCTGGTTTTTTTTTTTTAGCCGCATATGTGGCAGCCCCTGTCCTGCAGTCTGGCCAGATGTCATAAAGCTTCCCTTCTTCAACACCATGAAACCAAAGAAGCAGTACCGGCGACGACTACGAGAGGAGTTTGCTTTGTAAGTTGATGTTTACTTTTTCTTATTGTAAGTCGTATCTGTGGAATTTGGCCTCCCAGCATTTATTTTAAACATGTTCCTGTGCTTTTGCTGCTGTTCAGCATCCCTCCAGCTGCCCTCGATCTTTTTGACCACATGCTCAATCTGGACCCCAGCAAACGCTGCACAGCTGAACAGGCGTTGGGCAGCGAGTTTCTCAAGGATGTAGATCCAGACAAGATGCCTCCACCAGAGTACGTTTGGGTTCATGTTCCATCATCATGTTCATCCTGTAGTGTTGCTGTGCTCATCAGATCTTTTACTTTCTCCACTTCTTTAGTCTCCCACTTTGGCAGGACTGTCATGAGCTGTGGAGTAAGAAACGCAGGCGACAGAAGCAGATGCCGGAAGAACTGGCAGCTCCAAAGGCACCCCGCAAAGAGCTGGGCCTTGATGACAGTCGCAGTAACACGCCGCAGGGTTTGTCTGCCCCCGGAGCCATCAAAGCCCAGAATGCAGCTGCTTCTGCTCTGCTAGGTGAGTTTGACGACTGCTTTTATTTATTTAAGGTGTTGTCGTCTTACACTTGGTTTCATTTCATACCTTAGTTTCATGAGCTAAAAGTAAACTCGGATAGTCTGATGTATTTAAAAATCAACTTGTTACCTCTGAGCTGTGAGGTAATGTATGGAAATGAGCTTTTTAAAACATTACAGCTTTCACCAGACTAACATGCTTTAAACTAGAGGTTAAACTGGAGGTCACTGTTCGGTTAAATAGCCATTACATCCGGAATGTAGCTCAGTCATTCATTTATTCACTAATCTGCCTTTGCCTTCTTCTCTGAAATATTTAAAAGATCCGTGTTGCTAGACAACACACTGAACCAAACTCACTTATGCTCATATTGTAATTTCCTTCCACAGAAATATATATATATATGTGACTCTTGGTTCTTGCTCTAGTAATGAATCTTGCAGACTGATATTTCCATTCTCTTCACTTGGGAAAAGTAAATATGTCATCGATTAGATTTATGTATTTAAAAAAGGATAGAACTTGTCATGCAAGGTTATAATATATACGGCTGTTTCCCGAAATGAAGTTATTTTAAACAAAAGCCTTTTTTATAAATATGATATGGCCAGAAGTTGTTAAAGGAACTTTTGCTTTCATATATTGCATTCAGGATATTATCAGTGTTATGACTTCTGCTCAATCTTGTCATTTGTCTTCCTACAGACCCAAAGGGAGCAAACTCACAGTTAACCCAGGAACAGCTGGCAGTTCTCCTGAACTTCTTAGGGCAGCCAAAGAGTGCAGTCAGCACAGCCCAGTTTGTCCAGTCCATGAGCTCAAAGGTCAACCAAGAGACATTACAGCAGCTCTCTAAAGCCTTAGCTCCCACTGACCCAGCTGAGCCTCCTCTTCAGCCTGCAACTGCCAAGCCTCCCCCACCCACAGCCCCAGCAGGAGTACCCCGTACTCCTCCAATGCCCAAACCTCCTTCGCCCCCGATGTCTGCTCCGTCAAATATTCCAGAAGGCGAGGCTGCAGCTGCCACACAGACAGCCATGACTATGCTGCTAGCTCAGCTCCTCCAGGCTCAGCATACACAAAGGCAGGAACCAGTCGATGGTGGAGAAGGAGTAGAGAGCACCAACTCTGCTGGAGCTGCAGCACCGCTTCTACCTCCAGAGGTTAAACAGCCTCCTGAGCCCAGTCCTGTCTCACCAGGTGAGCTGCCTTCTGAACACACTGTGTCTGTGTACCTCAGTAGATTGACAAATACTTTTTCTTTAACTTTTATACCACTGAAGGTCAAATATCTTGTCAGACCAGCAGAAATATTTTTTCTGATTTTGCTTTAAAAATGAAAATAATCGGAGTTTTTTTATTAGCTGATCATCAAAAAGTGAACTAATATTATACATGTGCAATATAATACATTGTGAAACTGTGTTTTCAGTGTCTGATGTAAGTGGGGTGTCCATCCTGCCCCCAGACCAGAGACCACCAGAGCCTCCGGAGCCACCTCCACATGCTGACCTTGACTACCGGCAGCCACCACCTGAGCCCAAGACAGGCCATGCCCCCCCTATTGCATCTGCAGGTGCAGGTGACGGAGGGAGACCCCCAGAGCCAGACTATCCACCTCTGCCCACTGCAGAAGGTTCTGGATACGGTGGCGAATACAGCCATCCACCTCCTCCACCTTTTACACCTGCAGGGTTTGGGGAAAGCTACATGGGTCATATGTTGGGTGGGGGCTTGCCACCTCACACTCTGAGAGAAGTGTTTAGTGGGCCTGGACAGGCTGCCAGCTCCTCTACTGCTCCTGGGGCTCTTGCTCCAGCCCACCCCGACCCATTCCCTCCAAGTGCCGGAGCTTCTGGACCCAGCAGTATGGTTTTCACTGGGGACAAGGACCACCGTTTTGAGTACAATCACAGCCCTTTACCTGTGGAGGGACAGTCTAACCCCAGTGCTATCCACCTTTACAACCATGCCATGGCAAGAAAGGATGGTGTACCTCCTCCACCACCCATCCCAGCACCAGGACAACCCTGGGGCTCCCCCTCTCAAGTCGGGGCTCCACCACTACCCCTTGGCTTTGTCCCACATGTGAACTCGACGGCAACAATCAGAGGCCGAGGGCTGCCTTTCTGAAAGACTGGAAATATGTAAAGTGACTATGGGTGAAAGGGTTGACCCTGAAGCCTCTTAGACCAGATTAGATGGATCTGGAGATGCACATTAAGTTTTTAATAACTTAAATCTGTATAAGGCGTTGTATTCCTCCTCAGTCTGGAATGTGGAATACGCTGCAGAAGGACAGTTAACATCGGAGGAGCTTTTATTGCTCATACCATTTTCATATTTTTTTTGTAATCTATTCTGCTGTCTTTTAAATTAAACTCTGATCTTTTTGAGTGTACATTTATCAGGCTGGGTAAATTTTAAAACTCTACCTTAGCCTTTCTGTAATTGCTTCAGAGCAGACTAGTATTAATGTTTTGCACTACTGAGTGAAGTAGGCGGAAACTATTTTTGGTTATGAAAGGAAATGGATGATGTGCTCCATCTGCACAATTAGGAATATAACCCATAAGTAATGTTGTCCTCCTTTTTCTATTGTCAAGATTATCTTCAAACAGTGGTGGCCCATTTGGGTCAGATTAGTCATGAGCACAACAAGCTAATTGAGAGAATAAGGAGTAGTAACCTCTCAGACGAATGCACCAAATCTGATCCAGCTTCATGGAGAAAGGCTGTTTGAATTCCACATGCCTTTTTTTGCCAGTAGGTGTTGTAAAATCACAAGCAAAACAGAGAAGCATAATCGGAGTTTGAAAAGAAAACAATGTCTTCTTTTTTTTCCTGTTTTTTTTTTTTTTCTTTTCTTTTGTACTAAAATGATTTGTCAACCACCCTCCTCCTCCACCTTTGGCAAATGTTTATTAAAGAAATGCCGACGGTATTGTCGTCTGTTACATTACTGAAAACACTAGTTCTCACAGTGGTGTGGTGACTTCACAGAGCACACCACTGGATGGCAGTGTCATGCCAGAAACACTCACTTACCTAGAGTGTGTTCATTGCACTACAACCATTGACATGTAAACTCACCCTTACTAAACTGTTGGACCTTTAGCTTAACACCAAATTTTGACACTTTGAACATTTGGTATTTTTTGCCTCAGCAAGCACCCTGTGCAATTCAGTATAATGGAAGCTCCTGTATTTTGAATTTTTATCATTTAAACCGTGAGAGACTTTATCAAGAGCGACGTGGCTAAGAAGGTGCAGCACTCACTTGTTCTGCTGGCGGCACAATGTTGGAGCACAGATACAGAGCAGCACGACTGTCAGGAAGAAAGAAAATGTTCTCCAAGATGATGGCTCCCAGCAGATTTAATCTTCAAGCGCTAAGAAAACGGTTTCTTAAAGAAACTAACCTGTCCTGCTGAATGCTCCCTACTAATATCAGCTTTGATAAAACTTTTTGCTGCTGTCAGTTAACTCTTGTTGCACTCGGATAAAAGCAACAACAGAATTCTAATAGATTTTGGTGAGGGGGAGGGGACTGCGCTTGCACATCTGGCTTGTTTTACCCATCATATCCACATCTGAATTTGCCACACGTTCATTGCTGGTGATGAGAAAGTGATTATCTCCAAGGAGTTCTCTTCTGCAAATCTAATTCGCAACGTGGATGGCGTCTGATCTGTGCTTAATATGGTGTGGATGATGGATTGCTGAAAGTTTATGGTAACTTCAGTCAGAGTGGCAGCATTTTTTTTTTTTTTTCAGGAACATGATTGAAACAGTGAGTACAGTTTTAAAAGATGGAGACGGGAAAGCTACAGAAACAAATCACTTAGTCAGTTTTAGTGAATTATGCTGATGTCCAGCTTGAAAAATGACTTTTCAGTCAGGGCCGTGCTATATTTTTTAAAAACTGATGTAGTAATTCTTTCCTTTTTCCCTCAGTGTAAGTTGCTTACCAAATGTTCAGCATCATGTACAGTCAACTCCACTGAAAACAGGATCCAAACATTCAGCAGCAATACACAAAGGAACTATATGCACAGGTGAGCCAATCACATGACTTCCCATCAAAAAGAGACTATATACCGTATATCATCATCTATGGCAGTAAGCAGATCTTAAAGATCTAACACAGAAAAACAGCTAAAGAGTAATACAAACAACCTCAACATCTGTAAAGCTCGCAGGTGCTACCCCCTTTGTTCAATCCAAAGAAAACCTGAAAAATAACATTTAACTTTTCATGCTAAGCTAACTTTAGCACTAAAGCTGGCTTTGTGTTCAACCTACAAGCAAGGGTGGTATAATCTTCTCATCTGACACAAAAGCAAATAAATGAAGCAAATAAACATTTCAAACAACTCCTTTTATCGAGGCCCTCCAGTGAAAAAACTGCAATGTTTGACATGTAAACACATTTACTCAAAGTTCAGCCTGACAGAAGCTCCACTAGTAGCCAAAATAAACTTTTGTACCTAGCTGTACATATTGAGTGCGAAGGTGGTGGTGTGGCAGTTTTACTTATAACAACATAGAATCAGACACCGGTAAAGTTATAAGCAGTATGCCAAGATCATAGTGTCTTTGACAACCATGCATTGTTATTGCAACCATCACAGTAAAACACAAAATCACTTTAACTTCAGGGATATCAGTCTGTCCAGTTGGGAAACAAACTGCTGTGAATCCATTTCATCTGCTTTGGTACACTTTATCAAAGAGGGGGAGATCCCCAAGGCCTGATCCACCTGGGATTAAATAAGGGATTAGACCCAGGATAGTTCATGAAGTTCAGAAATATATATACACGCTATTGCACTAATGGTTATTTGAAATGCAGTGAAAGTAATGAAAAAGTGTGATATTATAAATCAGAAATCAGCGGGGCCACCATGTAAAGATAAATGGATGTAGGTGGAGTAGTGCATCAAGAGTGTTCTCAGCAGGCACTGAGGGGGGTATAGTTTGTAAAATGGTATAAACGTGATGTTTTGGCAATGCTATTACTCTGGTTCTTGCTGTGAGCAAACGGATCATCTGAAAGAAATGATTATACTAAAGGTGAGAAGTGCATTTATAAAACGAGGCAACAAGAAGACAACCCTCAAAAAGGAATGGTATTGCAAGTGGAGGCCACAAACCACTGCTATCTTTTTCTCCCTCCAGGCTGATTTTTCTCTAGTTTTGCTGGCAGGAACCAGGTTGTCCTCCAGGACCACATCTATACGTGCCATTTCAAGGAGGTTTGCTGTGTCTCCCAGCACAGTCTCAAGAGTGTGGACAAGATCCCAGGAGATGGGCTTTTACACAGGCCTGTTGAAAGGCACCAACCCAGAAACAGGACCCCATCTGCTCCTTTGTGCATGTTTCTAACCAAACTGTTAGAATCAGACACCATGAAGGTGGCATGAGGGTGTGATATCTTTCAGTGGGACCTGTGCTTACAGCCAGCACCATGTAGCTCAATTGGCATTCACCAAGGATATGCCTCCCCAGACCATCGCTGAGCCACTGCCAAACTAGTCATGCTGGGTGATGTTGCAGGCAGCATAATGTCTTGCCACGGTGTCTCCAGACTCTGTCGTGTATGTCACACATGCTAATTGTGAAGCTGCTGTCATGCCAGTGGTGGATCTGCCAGTACTGGTGTTCTCTGGTGAATCTGAAAAAAGGATGCCACACTCAAGGAGTGTGATTCTAAAGGTTTGGTTGGAAACATGCACGAGTAGCCTGTTGGAGGTCATTTTACAGCACTGTAGCAGGACTCCTCCTGCTCCCCTCATGCAAAGGAGCAGATAATGGTCCTGCTGGTCCCTGTTTGACTCTCCTCGTCTCACAGTAATGAACTGACTTTCTGTTACACTGCGATGATCAAGTGAGCTAAAATCTTCCCTTATTTAATTTCATTAATTTTGTGGTAAGTGTAAGTTGCTTTATTATAACAATACTTTGAACACACTGAATTGATTCTATTTAGTCCTTTAAATAAACGTCAGTTTGTGCTATTAAGACAATATGACACACATTAAAGACACCAATCAGAATCAGAATCGCATTTATTGGCCATATGCACAGACGCATACAAGGAATTTGGTTCTGGTAGATGGTGACTCTCAAGCACAGCAATGTATATCTCAACAATGTAAGCAACACAATTCACCCACACACACACACACATGCGCGTGTGGATATATACAGCTACACATGCATACACATACATACACATACATATACAAGCTGTGTAAACCAACCATAAACCATTCACTTTATTATTGTGCAGAACAACCTACAGTCAGTGCATATGAACCACTACTTATAGAAGAAAAACAGGCTGAATTTATTACAAAAACCTTCCTGTTTTGTGACTAGCTATCAGGAATACTAAATCTGAACGAGAGGAGGTAAGGCTGTTTGCTGGGTAGCGTGAGAAGCGTCTGATAGGATGAAAGGTATTTGCATAAAATATGTCTAGGGGTCATGCTAATCCAGGTGCAAGAAATGGGCTTTGAAAAGTGCTTCATCTGATAATTACATCAAAAGAAGTGACAACACGTAAATACCATAGACAGATATATGGATGATAAGCCTGGCTCGAAATTTTGCCAGGCACTTTTGTGTACCTTATAAAAAAATGTTTATTTCTACACCTTTCAAACAGGAAATGTAATTTAGAAATGTGAAATGTCAATAAATTTGTTGATTAATTTATATATTAAGTTGATTTCAAACTGCTGATGCAAAGCAGGAAACACAACAAAGAGCAACTTTGAAAGACTTCACTAGGTTGCGGTTACAGTCTTTGTCACTCACAATCACATTTATAAACCCTATCAGACCCTCAGATACATTCGCTAACTGTGTGCGTAACCTGTAAAAAAGACAGCATCAGCAACATGCCACACATACTTAACTCAGAGAAAGTCTTTGCAGTGGATGCACACGCTCCACCTGCTGTTATGCCTGGTTTGAGGCACAGTGTGGTGCTAAAAGACTGGAAAGGAAGCTGAAAAAAAAAAGAAAAACCAGGAGCCTCTCAATCCATCACCAGGATTTCATAAACCTCGCAAAACTGAAAATTATGACGAGTACACTTCATCCTTAAAGCCCATGAATATGGACACATGCCCATTAACGCTGATGTCTGACAAGCAGAACTGACAGCATGAATTCATTCTTACTTGAGTGCCTAAAAAAGCATCGAGGGATAGCGGAGCGGGCTAAGGTGTTCCCTTGAATTTTTAAGCTGCTGGCTCTTGTTGAAAATGGATTATAGCCAATATCATTATGATCCATAAGCTTATCATATTTGGCTAATAGACTTGAGCTTGTTAAGCTATTACTACTCCAAGGTGCTTTGAGGACAGGAAGAGGTGCTACCTGTGCTGACTGTTGACATTCAAATGTAGAAGGGAAATGATTAGGAGTTAAGGATGATTTATTGAAGAATTAAGGTGCTGACTTTGAATTAACCTTTGAGATTTTGGCAGCAACTAAACCACGGTGGGACCCAGAGTGCGTCACTGCGCCTTAGGCCAAAATGCTCCTTAAAGAGGTGAGTCAGCTGAACTAATGGCTCTTTAATGGCCAGTGGTTAAACCTTGTTTTGTTTTTGTGTTCTGTCTATAACGTGAACGAAAGGCAACGCATGTCTTTGACATTTTAAGATAATGTTATGTATACATTTTGTTTTCGCTGAGTAATTTCCTCCTGGGGCGTGTTCAACATAGTTTTTAATTAAAATCTGAAATAAGTGAGACAATTGTTGTGCAGTCTTCCACATGCATGCACAACATAACTAACTCTCATGCCTGCCGCGTATTATTTAAGCTTAGGTAGAATACCAATCATTAACGTGACCAAGTTACAGGGTGTTAGTCTCACTTAATGAGCTCTTTCCTTTAGAAGACACTGCATTAGCTGTGCAACAGA